TAAATCTCAGTTAGCTTAGCATACCTCAACGAGCAGAAGGCTAACCCACCTTTTTTCTATGAAACCCTAGTTGTGCCCATCTCACCTACGTGTCCCATAAATCCACCTTGGTCTATAAATTAAATTACTCTATAAAACTCCAAGCCTAATAAGGCATTTTTTTTCATCAACCATTTATTGATAGCCTTTGTGGAGAGATTCATAATAAATCATGTTCCTGATGCTTCTAGCAAACAACTTTTCTTAATTTAGGGAATAATTTTCCATTACAATTCACATTTGATACTTAAAGATAGATAGACACATTAGCTTGTTTAAGTATTACTATTTTTCCCTTGTTGAAACTTTGTTATAAAAAGAAAAACCATGTGGACTTAGCTCACTCTATTTTACTTGTCTAATTATATGTATATATATTTGAAGCTAATTCAAGCTACCTCTCTCTCTCACTCTATAATAATTTTACATCTAAAACATAATAATTTGTCATTATTTTTAGAAACATTCTCATATATCTTTGTCGACTAAAAATGTTGATACTTAATGATCATCTATAAAATAGAGAATACAATATCCTTGATGCAAAAATCCACAATACGATAAACACCTTTCGTCTTGCCTTATAGTGATTGATGATGCAAACAACACTAATATTGATGCAACACAAATATGCAAGTACAAAGCAATGCACGAGCAAAGATAAGTTTATCAAAGTTTCACTTCACTGGAATCTTACTTTAATCTTAAGCAGCAATTATTCCTAATTTGTATGGTGCATATACATAAATACCACTCAACTCCTATATAATTACATATTTAATGCCTAAATATTGTTTTTTACATTTCTATCTCCCAAATTTTTAATATCACATCAAAAATATTATTATTATAACTTTTAAAAATTGAAATACCCATTTCATACACAGGTAAGATGACATATATATAAAAATTGAAGTTTAGATGTTAGATATGTAAATACACAGGAATTGAGTGGTATGTATGTCAATCTTCCTAAGCATAAATTTTGATTGCACTATACTTTTTGTCTTTTGGATTACTGGTATCTGAAGATTGAAGACTTACCGATATTGCAGCAATCGGCAAAGATGTGAATCAATACCACTCTTATTACTTGGAATCCAACCAGATGCGGGGAACAATAGAATAGATCTGAATTTCTCTGTGTTCTATAATAAGAGACGTCAAAATCCAAGACGACACATCTCTATAAAGCATTTTGTCAGAAAATCTAGCAGGAGTGACTTGTATCTCCAGAACTTGGATGCTTCCGAATATAGATCGGCGCCGCAGCAAATCTAATCTCTCACAACAGCTCTTTGGTGTCCAGAGTTAATATTTAGACACACGAGCATCGTTGCGGAAGTTTTCTAAATCAACTGTCGTGCAAGGTTTTGGTATTTTGGCCTTTAGAGACGAATGAATCTGGCTAGCTTTGAGAAACACATAAATAAATGAAAAGCAAAGGAGAAGTTTTTTTTTAAGGTTAAGAAATTTAATGACTATACTTCAATTTTATATTCGAGTAAAGTGAAAATAGTCAGGGCAGTTTACTCTTTTATATTTTTTATATTCAAATCTTTATCATATTAAAAATATCGACTTTTTACATATGTGGCATCTATGTAATTCTTTTAAATGATGACCGTATCAAGAGCATCCCAAATTATCGAAATTAATCATCATTTATATATTAAAACAAAATGAGCACCCGAGCTTAAGAATCTCCAACCAAATACTAAGCTGTTATGGTATGACTCATAAATCATATAGGGACAGACGCTAGAAAGAAGCGGAGCGGAGTGGAAGAATCTGTCCAAATCGGAAAATTACGTTATGTGGGTTATGGGGTGCGTGGGCATTACGGTATAGGTGTAATGTTGTAATAATATATTATACTTAGGGTTTACTCCTAGGGTTATAAATAGATATGTTAGTAATCCTATGAGTACTCTCTGAATTCTATAACCCTTTCTGAATATTGAATGGAATTCACCGCTCTGCTCCCGAGGATGTAGGCATCTTTGCCGAACCTCGTTAAATCTCTGTGTTCTTCTGGATTTGTGTCGTTCTTGTTTTTCTTCGCCCTAATTTCTCAACAAGTGGTATCAGAGACAAGTTCTAGGGCAGAGGAGAAATCTCGACACAAGGAAGAAAACGGTTTCGGCAGCAGTTTGGATTCTTCATAGAGGAGTTTGGCGGATTAAGGAAGAGTTTGCAATCGGCGAACTCCGCGTGCGATCAGGAGTTCGTAGAAGAGCACACAAAATTTGTTCGAAGGCTTCTTTCGCCTGCGACGCCAGAGGGGTTCGCGACAGAAATCGCCGGAGGTTTCGATCTCGCGTCGCGAGTTGCTCGTACAAGGGTTTGTGGTAGACGAGTTCGCGAGCCGTCGGAGTTCCCAAAGGAGTGATTCAGAATCGCTTGAGCAGAGCAGGCTTCATTCGCGCAAGGGGAGGTTTGCGACCAGGCAGCGACGTCGGCGAAAGGGATTCGGCCTGGGCGAGGTGCTCGCGGCGCTCGGCGCGAAAGGCAGTCGAGCGGACAGAGGCTGTAATCTGAGGATCGGAAAAGGAAAGATTTCCAAAGATTTGCTTCTGGATATCCTTTGCTGGAGGCAGAGAGGAAATTATTTGCTTTGCTGGAAGAATTGGAAGGAAGGAATCTAAGAAATATTTAAGGTGGAGGAATATTCCTACGGAGAAGGAAATTGGAAGTTCTGATTTTATTCCTTTACGGGAAAAATGAAAGTTTTTGAAGTAGTTCAATTAATTAAAGAAAATATTTTTAATTAATAGGGACTTAATTAAGAAAGCTTAATTATGGAAATATTTCAATCTTTTCTTTTCCAAAAAAAATTCAGTTGTTTTTTTTAAACTTAATTAAAGAATTTTTTTTCAATTCTTCTTCTTTTTTAAAAGATTCTAAGCAAGGATTTGCGGCGGATATTTTGGAAATATTCTGTGTAAGGAATTTTTTCAAAATTTAGCAGAGGAATTTGCAGAAGTTTTTATTGCAGGATCAATTTCAAATGATATTTTTTGGTGCAAAGTTCGAGGTGGCGAAGTTTGATGGAACCAGAAACTTTGGGTTGTGGCAAACAAGGGTAAAAGATCTGTTAGCGCAATAGAGAATTCTGAAGGCATAGCGGGCAACGAAACCAGATGCCATGAAGAATGAAGATTGAGAAGAATTACAACTATACGCCTATGTCTGACAGACGAGGTTATGTATCATGTGATAAATCTAAAATCTCCAGGGGAGATATGAAAGAAATTAGAAACTCATTTTATGGATAAATCTTTGACAAATAAGTTGTATCTGAAGCAAAAGTCGTATGGGCTTAAGATGCAAGAAGGTTTTGATCTGGCGCAACATGTTAATAGCTTCAATCAAATAATCACAGACCTGTCACGACTTGATGTAAATATTGAGGATGAAGATCGAGCGATGATTTTATTGTATTCATTGTCTTCTTTTTATGAACATTTGGTTATTATTCTTACATATGAGAAAGAAATTATCAAAGTTGATGAGATTACTGCAGCATTGTTGGCTCATAACCAGCGGAAGCAGAATGCAGGGGAAAGCTCTTATGACGACAGTTTATATGCTAAGAGTCTAAGAGTAAGCAGGATATGCTAAGAGTAAGCAGGATCGCGGAAGAAAGAAAGAGAATGAGGTTCTAAAAGGCAAAATTTCAGATCCAAGTCCAAAGGCAAAAAAACAATGCTACAATTGCAAGGAGTCAGGTCATATGAAGAGAGATTGTCCAAAGCTGAAGAAGCAGGCTGGGGAGAAAGGTGACACATTATTGAAGTTTGTAAATGTGGTGCAAGAGTGACAATTCAGATTGCAGTGATGGCGATATGCTCTCAGTTTTGTCAAATCAATTCACGGATGCATAGATTCTTGATTCAGAATGCTCTTATCACATAACATCAAACAGAGAGTGATTTACTTCATACAGATTAACTAATTCTGGCTCAGTTTATCTAGGTGATGATATATGATGCAATATTGTTGGTATTGAAAAAATAAGAATTAAGATGTATGATGACATAGTTAGAACATTATGTGATGTTAGACATATTCCAGATTTGAAGAAGAATTTGATTTCCTTAGGCACTTCAAACAGAAATGGTTTTATTCCTAAGGAAGATGAGGATATGGAAACCATCAGAATTGTTAAGAGCGCACTAACGACGATGAAAGGAAAGTTAACTGCAAGCAATTTCTACAAACTGTTGGGGAGTACAGTTGTAGGTGAAATTCATTTTGTAGAGATAGAAGATGATAGTACAAAGTTATGACATATGCGCCTGGGTCATCTCAGTGAACGTGGGATGGTGGAATTGCATAGAAGAAACCTATTGCATGGCTATTGCATGGTGTTAGGTGTTAAAAGCTGCAAGCTCGATCTTTGTAAATTCTGTGTTTTTGGAAAACAAGCTAGAGTCAGTTTTATGACTGGAAGACACAAAACTGAAGAGATCCTTGATTATGTGCATTCTGATGTATGGGGCCCTACTAGGGAATTGTCATTGGGAGGATCTCAGTATTTTGTTACCTTTATTGATGTGATTTCTCCAGGAAAGTTTGAGTGTATTTCTTAAAGCAGAAAGTTGAAGTCTTCTCTAAATTTAAACTGTGGAAAGCTGATGTGGAGAACTAAACTGGCAGAAAGATCAAATATTTGAGGTCCGATAATGACATAGAGTACATAGATTCACAGTTTCAGAAGTTCTGTGAGGAGCATGAGATTCATAGGCATTTTTCAGTGCGCAAGACACCATAACAAAATGGTGTGGCAGAAAGGATGAATATGTCCTTAACTGAAAGAGCAAGATGCTTGAGACTGACTTTAGGGCTTCCTAAGAGT